TAAAGCTAAATGTAGCACAAGTTGCTCATGCTAAAGTTAGCAAAACAGTAGCTTAAAGCTAAATGTAGCACAAGTTGCTCATGCTAAAGTTAGCAACAAAACAGTAGCTTAAAGCTAAATGTAGCACAAGTTGCTAATGGCTGCAGTTAGCAGAACAGGAGGTAAAAGTCAACACAAATAAGCAGAGAAATAAATAACGTGTTTTATGTTTCGGCTCGTCTCAGGAGAGAAGTGACTGGGTCGGGCCTGCTGCTGCGTTGCCATGGAAAACAAGCAGGAAGCGTCGGCCGTCTGGAGTCAGACCGTCAACAATGACTCGAGCAACCCCACTCAGGTACCGAGTCCTGACCCGGCTGTTCCCCACCCCCTAAACTGGAATCATAAGTAGACCTTCGGCTGCGGCCACGTGGAAGTTTAGCTGATGTTTTGAACCCTTCAGGTGCATTTCGAGGGCGGAGCCGTGGCCCAGATCGTGTACGGCGGGGAGCGGGCGGACCGGGCGGAGCAGCAGGTGGTCTACACGGCGGACGGGAGCTCCTACACCTCCGTGGAGTCTGCGGAGCACACGCTGGTCTACATCCACCCTGCGGACGGCGCTCAGGTGAGACAGAACTCGCTCCGAGACTCGCAGCTGAAGTTCCTTGTTTCTGGTCTGAGACGAGTCCCGGTTCTTTCAGACCGTGTTCGCCGACCAGCCGCAGGTGGCCTACATCCAGCAGGACGGCACCACTCAACAGGTGGGCTTCACCCGCCGCTGCCACGTCGTATCCATCTCTGCGGACGCCCCGTCAAAATAAAATCCACTGTGCTGTGATTTGCAGGTGACGGTGCTGCTGCCCGGAGGTCAGAACATGAACGCCGCCAACCTGCACGTTCTCAGTAACGTGGCGGACGCTCCACCGGCCATGCTGGAGCCGGACTCTCAGGTGAGGCTGCGCTCCTCCGTGGAGAACAGTGATCTCGTCTCGTCCTGACTCTGTGAATCTGTCGGAACGCAGGAGCCGCTGTCCGCCTCCAACTCCCTGGCAGACATGGCGGACATCACGGACCCCCCCACCAGCCCGCTCGGCGCCACGGACTCCACCGATGACTCCGACGAGGTGGAGGACGAAGACTCAGACCTAGACGACTGGGACCTGCTGCAGCCTCCGGCGTTCGACCCTCACAGCCTCTGTGAGTAAAAACCTCTTCACTCGGGTCGGCCTCCGTGTTTTCAGCTGCGTTATGTTTGTTTCGTACCGTTCGTTTCGTCTCAGGGTGCGAGGAGTGCAACTGTGCCAACCCCTCAGAGTGCCCCCTCCACGGTCCCCTGCATCCCGTCCCCAACCGGCCCGTCCTGTCCAAGGCCCGGGCCAGCCTGCCTCAGATCCTCTACATCGACCGCTTCCTGGGCGGGGTGTTCTGCAAGAGGCGCATCCCGAAGCGCACGCAGTTCGGTCCGGTGGAGGCGCCGCTGGTGCCGCAGAGCGAGCTGCAGGAGCACTTCTTCCACCTGAAGGTGAGTCTGAGCTCAGGTAGAGCAAACGCTGAGTCAGCAGCTGAGTCACTCTGTGAACTTTCTGTTGTTTTAGCTGCTCACAGATCTGCTGAAGTCATTCAGGAAAGAGGAGGGCGATAACAAATAGTTTCAAAACATTTTACTTTGTGATATTTTCCAATAAAAAACTGATCTATTCAAAAACGTCTGCTACTATTAGTTTTAAGCAACTGTTCTGCTACTATTAGCTTTAAGTACTCTTCTGCTACTATTAGCTTTAAGCAACTGTTCTACTACTATTAGCTTTAAGCAACTGTTCTGCTACTTTTAGCTTTAAGCAACTGTTCTGCTACTATTAGCTTTACGCAACTGTTCTGCTACTATTAGCTTTAAGCAACAGTTCTGCTACGTTTAGCTTTAAGCAACTGTTCTGCTACGTTTAGCTTTAAGCAACTGTTCTGCTACGTTTAGCTGTAAACAACTGTTCTGCTACTATTAGCTTTAAGCAACTGTTCTGCTACGTTTAGCTTTACGCAACTGTTCTGCTACTTTTAGCTTTAAGCAACTGTTCTGCTACTATTAGCTTTAAACAACTGTTCTGCTACTAATAGCTTTAAGCAACTGTTCTGCTACTATTAGCTTTAAGCAACTGTTCTGCTACTATTAGCTTTAAGCAACTGTTCTGCTACTATTAGCTTTAAGCAACTGTTCTGCTACTTTTAGCTTTAAGCAACTGTTCTGCTACTTTTAGCTGCCACTTGGCTTCTTTTGGCCAAGCTTTATTAAGTGTAGCTTCTAGTCATTTTTTGTTACTTTTAGCTAACCTGTTGATACTTTAGGCTTATAGTTAACATTTTTATTTTTGCCAACATTTGCTAATTTAACTTCTGGCTAGCCTTTTGATACTTTCAGCTAATCATTTGTCTACCTTTTTAGTTAGCATTTTTTTTGTTTTGCTACTTTTTGTTATGACAGAGAATTTAGCTTCTTTTAGTTAGCCTTTTGTTACTTTAGTTTGGTTTTCATACTTTAACCTAGCTTTTTATCTTCTACTTAGCCTTTTGATACTTTTAGGTTTTTGCTGTTTTTAGCTTCTAGTTACAACTTTTTTGTGACTTTTATATTTTAGTCTTTAACCAGTGTAGTGCTATTTATGGCTATTTGTCTGCATTTAGCTTAATTTAGCTTTTAGCTAGTGTTTAGCTTCTTTCCCTACAGTTTTCACAGTTTCAGCATCAAACTGTATTTTTACAGAAATCATGATTTGTCCTGTCTGTGTTTGTGTCTCACACTGCGATGCTTTTAGCTGTGCCTGCTGGACACGGAGAAGGACGAAGACAAGTCGAGCGACATGTGGCTGGACCTTTCAGACGAGGAGAGCTGCAACTGGATGATGTTCGTCAGACCGGCCCAGAATCACCTGGAGCAGAACCTGGTGGCCTACCAGTACGGCTCTGACATCTTCTACACCTGCATCAAACACATCCAGCCCAAACAGGAGCTGAAGGTCAGTCCGAGTTCTTTGGTCCAGATCCAGTAGACCCAGAACTAAAGAGCTACAGCAAACTGTGTAGAGAAATCAGTTTTAGCGCCCTCTAGTGGTGTGGAGGAAAAACAGCTGATGGTTCAGTTTAAATGTTTGAGTAAAGCTGGATTTGTGCTGAAATTTTCTGTTTGTGGATGTAGCAGTGGGAGGGGCTTATCAGGGCTCCTCCCACTGCTGTTTGTCTTTGAGTATTAAAGGTCCAGCTCTAGAACTAAAATAGTGTTTATGAAACGTGATTTCGTTTCGTAGGTGTGGTACGCAGCGTCGTACGCAGAGTTCGTGAATCAGAAGATCCACGACGTTACAGAGGAAGAGAGGAAAGGTGAGCGTTCAGTGTGACACAGTTTAATGGTAAAACTCTGTGACTCTGGTTCCGGTCCTGAGGTTCCACCGTGTCCCTTCAGTCCTCCAGGAGCAGGAGTGGAACTGGCCCTGTTACGAGTGCAACCGCCGCTTCGTGAGCTCCGAGCAGCTGCAGCTGCACCTCAACATGCACGACGAGAAGCTGAACTCCGTGACCAGGTGAGCGACTCTTCACCGTCGTCTCGGTTCAGGTACGCTCCTCTTCTTGTCAAGTCACGTGACTCGGGTCGCCGCCACTTCCTGTTCTCAGGTCCAAAGGTCGCGGCAGAGGAAGAGGCAGGAAGAGGTTCGGGACGGGAAGAAGACCGGGACGCCCGCCCAAGTTTATACGCCTGGATCCACCTGTCGACGCCAACGGAGACAAAACAACTGTAATTGAACTTTGTTGTTTACTAGATGAGTTTGTAAATAAATACTCAATAATTTAAGGAATGCTGCATTTTTTTCAAACCGAGTACTAGTATTTAATTTTCATACTAGCCTGGCATTTAACTAGAAGTTTTCAGATTGTAATACGTCAGGACACCCATAGGGCATCGTGACGATTGTCGACTCTTTCTCGATTGAGTTTTTTTTTTTTACACTTTGTAAATTTTGTAAACTTTGCAAGCAGAGTGCGGGTGACCTCAATTATTTTTTTTAAGCCAGTGGAGGACAAAGAATAAATTACACCGACTTAGACAGAGGAGGTGGGTTATAGGTTTTGATGTCTGTAACTTTACGTAAATTTAGTAAACTTCCCGTTCATTCGTAACTTTACATTTTGTAAACTTCCGTAAATTTTGTAAGCAACATGGGGGTGACTGCAGATATTTTATGAAACCAGAGGAAGACACGTACAGAATAAAATGCTCTAGCTTGGATAGAGGAGGTGAGTAGTAGCAGTTGCGTTTTCACAAAATCTGAACTAAATTTCGTAACATAAATTTGAAGACGCATAAAGAATAAATTATACCAGCCTGGATAGAGGACTGCTTCAGCAGCTGTTATCACAATCTACGTTCCTGGCCAGTTTGTAAATTTAGATTTTTTTTTTAACGTACATAAATTCATAAGCGCGGGCATGTAGGGGGAGGGGTTAAAGTGTCGACGCCCTCTTCCAAAAATCTTACCTGATCTGGTACTGGCTGATGGTAATAACACTATTCTTACCCAGTAGCGTTGCTAAAAGCTAAAATATGGACAATATTAAAACAATAAAAGGCTATTCAGCTCACAGACTGCAACAAAAGTTGCTGCTTTGAAGCGTTAGCCTAGCATTAGCTTAGCATTAGCTTAGCATTTTCTGATACATCCTTTTGTGCTTTTTAGTTTCGTGCTATTTCACCTCCATAATGATCGAAGCGTTGATGGTGCTAACGTATTCGTGTTTGTTTACAGCAGGAAATGTTGGGATTGACAGAGAAGCCCCTGGAGGAGCGGACGGACGGAGAGGAGAACGGAGTGAACGACGGCGAGCTGGAGCCGGAGGAGGACCCCGCCGCCGAACCCGAGGCAGAGCTCGTCTCGCCCGCAGAGCAGCAGCTCCTGGAGTCCACGACGCTGCCCTCCAACCCGGACCTCCCCGAGCCTCTGAAGGAGGACCCGGCCCAGAACAGCCAGTGGACCCTGACGTCGCAGGACGTTCAGCGCGCTAAGAAAATACGAGTGAGTGTACTTAACGTCATTCTCTAGTAGTTTGTTGTTGTTTTATCTCGTTGGTGTGTAAAAGGTGTTTTATAAATAAAGGTTGACTGGTTTTAAAACCATGTGTCTCTCTTCCTCACTGCGAGCTTCCCTCACAGATGGATGTGCAGGTAGGTGAAACCCGGAGGATGATGGGAAAACTGCGCAGAAAGACTCCCAGCTTTCCCCTGGTCTAAAGGCCGAGCTTTAGCTTTTTGTTTGTGTTTGTCTCCTGTGTCAGAACGTGGCGCTGCAGCACCTCTTCATCAGGAAGAGCTTCCGTCCGTTCAAGTGCACCCTGTGCGGGAAGGCCTTCCGGGACAAGGACAAGCTGGAGCAGCACCTGCGGGTCCACGGGCGCGACGCCTACACCTTCTCCTGCCACATCTGCAGCAAGAGCTTCCTGAGCAACTCGGCCCTGGAGGACCACCTGGTGGAGCACACGGAGAACCGGTCCTACTCCTGCCTCCTGTGTCCCGAGTCCTTCGAGAGGCTGGAGCTGCTGAAGGATCACGCAGAGGTCCACTCGATCAACGGCTACTTCCACTGTCCCTCCTGCAAGAGGAAGTTCATCAACTTCTTCCAGGTCTGCATCGACTGAACCTGATTTTATTTTATTTTATTTATTTTTATTTTATGTCTTTCTGAAGGTTCTGCTTTGATCTTCTCGTCAGGTAAAGAAGCACATCCGCTGCTTCCATTCAGAGAAGATCTTCCAGTGTTCGAACTGCGAGAAGGCCTTCTGCCGCCCAGACAAGCTGCGCCTGCACATGCTGCGCCACTCTGACCGCAAGGACTTCCTGTGCTCCACGTGTGGCAAACAGTTCAAGGTGAGCTGCGGAGAAGAGCCACCTGCAAGAGTTTATTTATTTATTTACTTATTTTGTGGTTTAATTCAGAGGAAAGATAAGCTGCGGGAGCACATGCAGCGCATGCACAATCCAGACCGGGAGGCCAAGAAGTCGGACCGGACGCACCGCTCCAAGGCCCACAAAACAAAGACCCCCACCTCCGACTTCGAGAGCTTCGCCTTCAAATGTCGGCCGTGCATGATGGGCTTCAGACGCAGAGGGATGCTGGTGAGCGCTGAGTCAGCATGTTTCTGCAGACCTTTTGACACTTCAGTCATGAATCAAAACGTTCAGCTCATTCAGGTGGACGGTGTTGTGACCATTTTGTTTTTTGTGACTTCCGTACTTTTCAAAATATTTGATTTACAAATTTTTTCCTCATTGAAAAACATTTTTTCAGTTCCTTTAAAAGTTTTTTTAATCTGCTTCAGCTGATTGTTTTAGTCTGTTTTAACTCTGTTCTCGTCTTTGAAACAATTTTAGCTTTTAGCTATGTGCTTCCTACTTTAAATTTTTAGCTAATGTTCTGCTGTTTTTAGATTTTAGCCTTTTTATTACTTCCAGCATTTAGCTGGTGTTTTATTACTTCGAGCATTTAGCTATGTTTGCTAGTTTTAGCTTTTAACTACCATTTAGCTACTTTTAGGTTCGAATAAGTTCTTCACTTGTAGCTAGACTTTAGCTTTTGGTTGAACTTTTGGCTACTTTGAGCATTTAGCAACCATTCTGATACTTTTAGCTAGACTTTTGCTTTTTGCTAGACATTTAGTTTCTGTAGGCATTTAGCTGGCTTTTTGCTTGTTTTAACCGTTCGGCTACTTTTTGATTTTGGTTTCACTTTGCTACTTTTAGGTCCCATTCTTCTTCTTTAGTTAGTTAGACTTTAGATCGTAGCTAGACTTTTGGCTATTTTGAACATTAAGCTACTATGCTGCTACTTTTAACTAGACTTTAACCTTTTTCTACATTTAGCTTTTAGCTAGACACTATGTTACTTTAAGCATTTAGCTAGCATTTTATTACTTTGAGCATTTGGTTATATTTTTGCTAGTTTTAGCTTTTAACTACCATTTAGCTACTTTTAGATTTTAACAAGTTCTTCATTTGTAGCTAGACTTTAGCTTTTGGTTGAACTTTTGGCTACTTTGAGCATTTAGCTACCATTCTGCTACTTTTAGCTTTTATCTAGACTTTGGATTTTTGCTAGACATTGAGTTTCTGTTGGCATTTAGCTGGCTTTTTGCTACATTTAGCGTTTTGCTAGACACCTTTTTACTTGAAGTATTTAGCTAGCTCCTTGCTACGTTTGGCTTGTCTTTGGCTTCTTGCAGCATTTAGGTAGCCATTTGTGACTTAGCTTTTAGCTTCTGTCATACTATTGCTAGCCTTTATCTAGCCTTCTGCTACTTCTAGCTAGCCCTTCGATACTTTTAGTTAGTATTTTACCCCTTTAGCTGTTAGTGTTCTGCTTTTTAATTTTTACTAACTCAGTTTCAGCTTCAACAAACTTCAGCTGTCGTTCAGCTCTCAGTTTTAAACTCTGGTCCTTTTAGCAGTTTTTTTAGCTGATTTTTCTGTTTTCAGGTGAATCATTTGTCCAAACGTCATCCTGAGATGCGTATCGACGACGTTCCAGAGCTGACTCTTCCCATCATCAAACCGAACCGGGACTACTTCTGTCAGTACTGCGATAAGGTCCGTTTTCCTCTGGTTCTGGCGGTACTTCCTGTTTTCAGTTCTTTCAGAATAAAACTCGTTTATTAAAGAACTCGTGTCTCTGCAGGTGTATAAAAGCGCCAGTAAAAGAAAAGCTCACATCCTGAAGAACCACCCCGGAGCAGAGTTGCCCCCCAGCATCCGGAAGCTGCGTCCCGCTGCTCCCGGAGAGCCGGACCCCATGCTGAGCACGCACACCCAGCTGACCGGCACCATCGCCACGGCGCCGGTCTGCTGCCCGCACTGCGCCAAACAGTACAGCAGCAAGGTAAGCCGCTCACGCAGCCGATCGCTGAACTTCCTGTTGCTTGAGGTAAAACGTCCGTTCCTGTCAGACGAAGATGGTGCAGCACATCAGGAAGAAGCACCCAGAGTTCGCTCAGCTCGCCAACACCGTCCAGACGCCGCTGACCGCCGCCGTCATCAGCTCTGCTCCTGCCGTCATCGGCGCGGACGGCGCCACGGCCGAGGCTGTGGTGGTGAGGACGAAACGATCAAAGCATCAGATTACAGTCTGCATCGGATTTTAATCTGAACCGTGTTGTTCCTCACAGACCACGGACCTGCTGACCCAGGCCATGACAGAACTCTCTCAGACCCTGACCACAGACTACAGGACCACGCAGGGGGACTACCAGAGGATCCAGTACATCCCCGTGTCCCAGGCTGGGGGAGGCCTGTCCCAGCCGCAGCACATCCAGCTGCAGGTGGTCCAGGTCACTCCGGTAATTTAAAAAGGAACTTTAATCAACGTTTTTATTTTTACATTTTTAAATTTTACCTACTGTTTTTATTTATTTTAGCTTTCAGCACGCTTTAGCTAACTTTTTGCTGCTTTTAACAAGAGTTAAAACATAACATTTAGCCATTAGCTAGCATTGCTACTTATAGCTAGCCTTTGCTTTTTCATTTCAATTTCAACTTTTTAAGCAGTGTCCGCAGTATTTTCACAGAAAATTCAGGTTTTCTTATATTAACTTCAGAAAACAGCTGAATTCAGTTTGATAAGTCGAGTTTTGATGAGTCAGACGTTAATAAGTCAGAGTTTTCTGATCCCAGCCGGTTTCAACATGACCAAAATACAAAACAAACATAAACAGGAAGTTATTTTTAGTTTAATTTTTATTTTTTCTGTCCTTCAGGCCTCCTCCCAGCATCCCCAGCCTCCGACGGTGGATGTGAGTCAGCTGCACGACCCTCACGGCTACAGCCAGCACTCCATCCAGGTCCAACACATCCAGGTGTCTGAGCCCTCAGGTTCTGCTCAGGCTGCCACACAGGTGAACCCACACTCCCAGCGGCGCCGGATTCGTTTTGTAGGTGGGGGGGCCGGGGCGGGTCGTCATCTTGCATTCTACGCATCCTGAATGTCGGGCGCACACGTTCAGTTTCGCCACACGGTGTGTCAGTGACTGATGACTGATGACTGACTGTCATCAGATGTAACTAAAGTCTTTTGGAAATTAAAAAAATACAATAAAACAAACTGCAGTCACGATTAAGCTCTTTTCTTTTCTTTTTTTTATATTTTTCAGTTCATCAGTAGCTGCTTGTGAGCATAAATATATGAGACATTAATTTTCTGAATCAATATCTATTTGAATTTGCAGACCATTTTCTGAGGAAAAAGATGGACGTTCCTGCTGGTAATCATGTGTTTTCCCGTCTCATAGAAAACAGATTTGGTCCATAAGTTTAATTAGCTAAAGCATGATTAGACTTTTTTTTATTTTAACAAAGTTTAATTATGCATCAAGCTTTACCTGCATCCTCTCATCATCAAGCAACAATTAATTAATGAAGTTTTCACCTGTGATTGTTTAATTTAAATCATTTATTAGGAATGATGATCACAGTAAATCCATCTGCTTTATAAATTACCATGAAAAAAACTAAACATGTAAATAATATCTACTCTGGAGTTTGGAACAGCGGGTCAGAAACTTACGCTGTAAACAAAGTCTTTTTTCGTGAGAGATGGTGAGTAAAGAAAACGATTTAAAGGGATCCCCGATTAGTTGTAACATTAGACTTTATTTAATAAATGTATTTTAACTGTAAAATAAAGACTAAAAATACTGTAGGCTGTTTAGTTTTTCTCATTTTTAAACTAAAAGTTAAAAAATATATTACACGGACGGAGCCATTTTATTTACACCCAGAGCATTCTGGGTAAATGATGACGTGGATAGGCTAACCGCCTGCTATCGAGCTATATCCACCCTGAAGGTTAATCTTGGACAATATCTGATGATCGACTCTTTTAAATGAAACCAGAGAGCGTTGACAGAGAGGAGAAGGTAGAAATGACTCAGCCTGGAGCTGAAAATATGGATGGAGGACAACAGAGCTGCTTCATGGAAGAAGAACCTCAGCTTAGCCTGTTAGCTTTAGCATTAGCCCTGATGCTATCACCATATACAGTATATGTTTATTAGCTCAGCACTACACATTCTCCTCTCATCACTGAGGTCCTCCATCCACATGACAGAGAGGGGAACACAAAAATGACTCAGCTGTAACTGAAAATATAGATGGAGGACCTCAGTTTAGCTTGTTTGTCGCGCTAGCGCCGAGCTAATACATATAAGGCAATATAGCGTTGGCGCTAAAGCTAACAGGCCAAGCTGAGGTTCTTCTTCCATGAAGCAGCTCTGTTGTCCTCCATCCATATTTTCAGTTACAGACTGAGTCATTTGTACCTTCTCCTCTCTGTCAACGCTCTCTGGTTTCATTTAAAAGAGTCGATCATCAGATATTGTCCAAGATTAACCTTCAGGGTGGATATAGCTCACTAGCAGCYTCGCACCGAGGACCTATCCACGTCATCATTTACCCAGAATGCTTTGTGTGTAAATAAAATGGCTYCGTCCGTGTTAAAATATATTTTAAAACATTTACAAAACTAAACAGCCTACAGTATTTTTACAGTCTTTATTTTACAGTTAAAATGTTTATCAAATAAAGTTTAATGTTACAACTAATCAGGGATCCCTTTAACAGCGAACCTTATTTTGAGGGGGAAAACGAGGAAAATGACACATTTGCTCGTTTGGCTGCATTTTCTCCAAAGCAACCTGTCATCTCTCAGAGCAGCAACAAACTCCAGCTGCTTTTTGGAAAGCAACAATAAAGACAAACTCTGCGTAATTATTTGTCAACCCTGACAGGAAAAGTTAAAGCTCTGAGCCAAATATAGCTGAGCATTTGGCCCGGACCTGTAAAAGGGCCGTGGGCTCGTTTATTTTTTTTCACAACCTGTCAGAACGGATGGTGGTGCACAGGTTTGGGCCAGATGTGGCACAAATACAAAATTCTDATTTTATTTTTAGGCTGATTTTGTTGACCCAGATGAGATCGGAGCCAAAATGTTTTTTGCAGGTGTCAGGCAGACTCATGATCACAGCCCGACCCACAGCTGGCACTTCTGCATAAACCCTCCGACTGTTCCTGCACAGGTTGTACGCACCGCGCAGCTGTGACATGCTAATCCTTCAAATACAAAAACTCATAGAAAACATCTTTATACTTAAAGTGCCTGTAACAGTAATGCTTTGTAATAAACAGGAATGCATTTTTGAAAAAATACCATTGATAACATATTGTAAAACAAATTTCACACCCCTGAGATGAACGGTTGTTGAGATATTTGCCTGTGAAGAAACAGGAAGTGATGTCAAAGGGGAATGTCTGCATGTAAACAGAGCAACAGCTGAAAACACAGAACGTACAGAAGAATCTGATGTTTCTTTAGATTATTTTGAGTTACTATTAAACACAGATGATGAAGAGTTAAAGTTTAAATAATTTTGTTTTAATAAACAAAGACCAGAGAGTTTATTTTATTAATGAGTTCCCCTTTGATGTCACTTCCTGTTTTACTTTGGCTGAGCCAAATCCAAAAGAAAGTAGGCCAGTTATGTGACAAAATGTGTAAAATCATGTGTATCATGCCAAGTTTCTTAAATAGTTTATTAATTTATTATTATTATTTATCCAGTGGACTTCCCTGGTCATTATTACGTGCTCTGTATCTCAGTTTTAATCTAAATTATCCGTTTTTTTCTCTCTCTCTCAGGGTACCAGTCAGCCTCTGAGCCCCACCTCCCAGCAGCCCAGCCAGGACCTGAGCCCGGCCCAGCTGACCCCCGTCACTTTAGCCCAGAGCCACGCCCTGCAGGCGAACAGCGGCCAGCAGCCGGGGGCCGTGCAGCACGCCTACATACCTGGGAACTGGAACTACCGGGGCTACCGTGAGTCTCGTTCTTATCTGGACCCGCTCCTCTGAGCTGTGTGAGGATAAAACCTGAACCTCTTCCTCTTCCAGCTTCTGAGATCCAGATGATGGCTCTACCTCACGCCCAGTACGTCATCGCCGAGGCCAGCACTCCTGTGTCCGGAGTCAACAGCAACCAGGTCAAAACGGTGAGTCCAGGTCCTCCGGGTTTCTGTTTCTGTGGATCTTAGAGGAACAAAATGATGAATCCCTTCAGCCTGTAAACATCTCTGTGCTCAGAAGAGTCGATAATAATGAATAAAACAAAACAAGGTAAAGTTGAATAAAGAGAGATCTCTGTGATGTGCAGCAGCAACAATTCACAATCACATCGTAGGCTTTTCTGGCACGTAAGATTCAGAGGCACTAATGCACCCCCATACCATCAGAGAGGCTGGCTTTCAAACTGTGTACCAACAAAAATGGCGCATTGTTATTTCTGTATATTAAAGAGAGCATGGTATCTGTGGTTTCCAGTAGTGGGCGCAGCTAACAAAAAAGTTAGCTTCCCTAACCAGTAATCCGCTAAAATTATTAGAAGCTAATGCTAACCGCTAAGACGACTTAGTGTCTTCATCTCCTTTCAGTTGAAGACTGGTGGGGCTGTCACAAACCTGTTCTCTATTGGTTTAATTTGAAAGTGATCAACTGTGGCAAAAACAGACAATTTAACAAGAGTTGGAGCGCTAACTTCCAGTTCACCCCTTTCAGAATAAAAGCATTTCTTTGATCAAGATTTGTATTTTTTAGTGATAGTATTTGCTTTTTTATTGTTTGACTAACTTCAAAAGGTATTTATCACTACTATATTTTAAATGTAGTCAATTTAATTTACAGAATTTAAATGCTATTTTATGTATTTTTGACACTCTTAGTTTGAAGTTTAGCTGCTAACAATGCTACGTGCTAACACTGCTTGTAAGAGGGGACAGTTTTTATTTTATTTGTGAGAAACATAAAATAGATGTTTTGTTTAGAGGAAGGTAATCGGTCTGCTAATGATTTCGAAAGTTAGCAAAAAAGCTAATACGCTAAATAAGAAGCTAGTTCTGCTGTTAGTGGGCTAGCCGAACTGTGCCCTAAAAGAACTTTAAAACTAACTTTTAAAAATTGTTCCATAATTTCAAGAGTTTTTTTGCAGACTGGTAAATCTGCTCATCTTTACGTCTAAAATCCTGTTTTCGTATTTTTACGTCGTCTTCTCCTGCCCGTCAGACGCACTACGTTATCTCCGAGGGTCAGACCGATCTGGAGGCCAAGCAGACGACCCCTCAGACCACAGCCCAGAACCAGAACGACCATCTGGACCAACAACCCACCAGTCAGTCGGCCACCACGCAGTACATCATCACCGCCACCACCAACAGCAGTGGCACCAGCGAGGTCCACATCACCAAGCCCTGAACTGGCCCCTCCTCCTCCTCCTCCAGGGGGCGGGGTTTGTACAAATGAAGAAAACGGTCCACTCGACTGGATCGTACCGAATGGTTCCGGCACAGTTTTATGTGTTTGAGAGAATGGAATGAACCGCCAGACCTTTGTCTGGAAAATAAAACAAATGGACAGAATGAATTTTAAAAAATTAGGTTTTTATTTTAAATGGAATATAAAAATAAAAACTAAACTTAACACTACTTTTAAAGTAAAGCACTGGAACACAGAGCTGGAGAATCTGGACGAAGTTTTATTATTAAAGAGGCAATATCGTGTAAAATCAACTTTTTTGAGTTTTATATCATGTTATAATGTTATCCTCTCATCAAAAACATGCCCAGAGTCTTGCTTTGACTCATTCATGCATGTTTGAGAAATCCTGTAGTGTCCTGAGGCAGCAGGCAGGGGAGCAGAAACCACAGGTTGGGACTAGAACCGCCTTTTGGGATCAGCTCCTCCTCTGGGCTGTGTCTCCACACTGAGCTTCCTCATCACAGAGCACACCTCCCCCACCTCCCGCAGGCTCTCAGCAGCAACAACTAGCAAACAGCCGGTGAAACCGCCACACCTGTTATTAACGACTTAGTCCAGTCCTTTTTTGTTTTTTATTTATTTATTTATTTATTTTTTTTTTCAGATGCCATGGAGACTACCCTCTTTTTAAGCTTCATATGGATGACATGGTTCTTAAAATGGTTGGACTTCAATTTAGGAAGTAACACTCAGATGAAAAAAGTTATATCTGTGCAAGTCGGTAGCTACGTTTACATGGACATAAGTAATCGGATTAAACGGCCATTCAGAATAAAAATGCATCATGTAAACACCCCGCTCGGATTATTCTGACTCGATTCAGCTCGATCCGAATGAATTTGTAATCGAAATGAGAGAGGTGGTGTATGCTGATTGATAATCCGAACAGCGTTTATGTAAACACTTAATCTGATTGTGAAAAAACTGACCTGACTGCGCACGTCTGCTGACTTTCATCCAGCGGTTTCTGCTCTTTTGTGGAGGAGCAGCAGCTCAGAACGATAAACAGCATGCACTGCCTTGCCAAAATAAAAAATATATATCTGTGCGTCACCTGCAGATGAATTAGAGTGCAGTAACGTCTCCATTATTAAAACCTGTCGCAGGTCCATTCTGAGCTCAGAAGCTGTTTATTTACGTTCATGATGAAAGTAGAACTTATTCTTCTGTGTTTTTATTTTAGGGAAAGTTAACAACTGTGCATGTCAGTGCTTCTATTCTGAATAAAAGCCCGGTGCATGTAAACACTCGTCATGATCAGATTGTGTGCATGTAAACGATACATTCAGATTATTTAATCTGAATTCATTTCAATCCGATCAAAGAATTTTGCGCACGTAAACATGGCTACTTTAGCTTTCTGAACAAAGGAGAATTTAACTGTGGACTAATAACAATCACTAAAAGATGATGCAACTCAGAAGTACACAAAACATCGTTGTCACCTGCCCAGGTAAGCTGAAAAACTCAGCTTGTTTTGTTCTGTTGTTTGGTTTATGCGTGATCTACGGTTAGCATTTGTAACTTATTACAATCAGTATTTGTGTGGATGATTTTACCACCTGAAACGTCGTCTCTCTAATCGCTCCGGTTCTTTAGAAAACATACTTTCCGGTCCGACAGTAAGGTTCAGATGTATCCTGAGATGAAATATTCTAAAACTGATCTTGTATAATGTTGCTGCTTTTTTTAATCATTACAACAAAGCATGCTACACTACGACGCTCCAGCTGGTAAACAGCATGGAAGCGGCTGTGATGACGTGCTGAAACGGGCGTGACGGGATCCGAAGCAGGTTCTTAAAGAGACAGAGGCCAATTTCAAGGTGTTTAGACACGGAAATGATGAGAAGTCAAATTTATTTTTTATTTAAACATAACATAACGATAGTTACTTTATTATATAGAACTTAATATATGCCTGAGAAACACATAATATTGCCCCTTTAAAGTAAAGCACTGAAACAGAACTGGAGAATCTGGACGGGAAGTTTTATTATGAAATATTTTATGTTACAGATGTTTTCTTTAGTGTTTTATTTGTAACAGATCATGATAACGTCTGTTGTTACCAAACTGTTTTTAATATTTTGTGATTTTTCTCCATCAGGTTTGTTTTTATTCACTGTCTTTGGTTCATAAAGTTTAGAATAACTATTTTATTATCTAAATATTTGTCCTCTATGGTGGTTTTATAGTAAAACTTTAAAAACAAAATATGTTTGGCTTCATTCTTTATGTCTCTGTTATGAAAGATTTGTTTCTGCAGAAAGTTTAAAGGTAAAATATAAAAATGTTACCTGAGGTGTAAAGTGTGAAAAGGAGTGGCGAGGTACAGTTGCTGAACTTTAGAAACTCATAAACTGATCTGTCAAGATAGTCGAGATTGTTTAGGCCTCCTGTATGGCAGGCCTTTTTAACATAAAATCGTTTGTGTCTGACTATATGTTATTACATTCAAGACATTAAAAACTGAGTTTTGACCCGGAACAACTATATTCTGACTAGTCAGAAGGGCAATTTAAAGACATTTAAGAATCAAAATACCTTTCAAGAGATGTGAAATGTCACCAAATTCATTGTTTGAAGGGTCACAGCTCTAGTTACAACTTATATCTCAAACATAATTACAAGGCAAAATTTAATTTTTATAAATCTGAAATAAAAAATTATGCATACACCCCCTGCTGCCACTGAGCTTTCCAGTTACCTGCCAGATTCTGAGTGACTGCAGCAAATTATTGCATCTAAAAAATTGTGTTAAAAACACAAGAATTTGTGTTTGACTCACCTGATGCTGAAGACCACGTAACAGCAAATTAAGGTAAGGCTAATTGACTAAAATGCCTTTAGAAACATTCTGCTAAAACGCTACATAAATCTGTCACATTTTGACTAAACAGAATAAATCAAGATATCTTGAATATCGTTCAGTTCAGTCAAAATGTTAATTCAAAATATGTTCAGAGGCCATCTAGATGGAAAAAAGTCTTCTTCACATCTGTAATTCATAGAGATATTTTAAAAGGAATTGTGACTCATCAGAAATAGTTCTAGATCTCTTAAGTTTTGCTGAGTCATTATTTGCTTTCAAGATACCTGCTTTTTAATTTACACTAATTGAATCTTATGTAATATTAACAAATACATTAAATGTATCTTGAATTATGATGTAATTTTGAATTATGACTCGGAACAAAAAGCAAAATATCTTGCGAATAATGCCTAGTCAAAACTAACAGGCAGAGGGTAGGCAGCATGTAAAAATTAGTTGCACTAACCCTAAAGCACTAACTCAAATATTTAAGTCCCCTAATTCTAAAGCACTATCCAGTCGACCCATTCACCTAGTGAATAAGTGAACAAAATGTGTGACACCTTTCACCCTCAGCTGTTAACATTAATGTTGACAATAACATTTAAAGACCTCAGTGCTTCTAAATTTACCCCGAAAATTTAGCAAGTGCTAATCCACTAATAAATTTAAAAAGAAGCAAAAGCGCTAAAGCACTAATCAGGAAATTAGTTCCCATTTAGTGCTTTAAGGGGACGGTGCCCACCACTGCTAACAGGGATATCTAGAACTATTTTTGACTTTTCAACATATTAAGATATCTTGAATTGGAGCCTCCTTACAAATTCAATTCTTAAAAACAATTACCATTCAGGATAGTCAAAATGTAGTTGTTCCTAGTCAAAACTCATTTTTAGATATCTAGAATGTAATCAGACAAAACAGATTTTATGTCAAAATGGCTTGCCATAAACAGAATTTTCTTCCACTTTCAGTTTTACCTGTATAAGTTTTGTGGAGCAGTTTGCGGGTAGTTTTCACCTGGTGAGTGATTCCAACAACGATTAATAACTAATAAACATTATTTTTCTACATTGCAGGTAAAAATCTTATCAGTAATTTGCGTGTATCTGTTAAACTGACAATATTTGCTGACTAAATCTGAAATCAAAAACTATTTAGAGGGAAACTTAGTGAGTTTAATGACGACAGTTGCGTTCATGTTTTTGTATTTCAGAAACTGTATTTTGAAAAATGAATTGTTTGACTCTAAAATATAAAAGGTTAGTTTGAAATATGAGACTTTTTTATGGTTGAAATGATTTATTTTTGCTGCATGTTGTGATAAGAAGTGGTTTAAAATGGCGCATTTGACCTTGTCAGTGCTGGAGGAATTTAGGCTGTAAATCTTAAATGGTTTATTAAAAGTTTTTTAACAAAACTGTAACAGAAACTGGAGTTGCATATTCTAATGTATACAATCTGTTTGTAGAATTTAAAACAAAAAAAGTTTCAATAGTTATATCCAATAGGAAGATAAATGGACCTTTGACCCCACCTCTTATATAACTGATCCAGTCTGAGGTGTGGGTTATTCTCCTGCTACAGCAGAATTCAGAATATTTTTAAATCCTTCACAATAAGAGTCTCAAACTGTTAACCTCCAATCTTTTTTATTTGGTTGAGCCAATATTCAATGTGTGCGTGTGGATGAGTGAGTAGTAGATTGTAAAAATTAGAGGTTGAAAAGACTCAAAGGTTTTTCTTGTTAGGTTTGAAACCAGAATTCGGTCTGTTTAACTTCACCTGATGTGACAGACGATCATGGCTGCTGCAGAACCAGGTAAATTCAGACACAACAAATTAAGATTTTGGGCTTTACCAATTTTTTATTGGTTAATAGAGAATAATTGCTTGTTTCATTTTACAGCTCTAACATAAAAAAAACACTGTACTGAGCTGATAAATAAATTTGTCTCTTTCTGTTGACAGGTTTGCAGCCTCTGAAGCGAAGCCAGAGCTATGAGTTTCTACCACCTTACAGTAAGTTTGACTGAACTAAGCCAATTTATGACTTAAATTAGATTAAAGTACTATTTGCACACAGTAAAAAACAACAAACTCAAGTTGAATGTTATATCGTTTACACTGTGCACAATTATTAGGCAAGTTGTAGTTTTGACCATATCATAATTTTTATGCATATTTTCCAACTCCAAGCTGTATAAACTAGAATGCTTATTGGATAAAAGTGTATCAGCTGATGTGTCTTTGCGTAATGAGGGAGGGTGGGGCCTAAGGACATCAACACCATATATCAAGGTGTGCATAATTATTAGGTTAAATGGACCAAAAAAGGAGGTTTAAGTGACTCTGAAAAGTCCAAAATTGTAAAAAGTCTTTCAGAGGGATGCAGAACTCTTAAAACTGCTAAGATATTGAGGCGTGATCACAGAACAATCAAACGTGAAGCTACCAAGAACCCATTATCCTCCAGTGCTGTCATATTCCAGAACTGCAACCTACCTGCAGTGGTCAGAAGTACAAGGTGGTCAGCGCTCAGAGACATGTCCGAGGTAAGGAGGGCTGAAACCCGAACACCACTGAACAAGACACATAAAATGAAACGTCAAGACTGGGCCAAGAAATACCTGAAGACACATTTTTCAAAGGTTTTATGACTGATGAGATGAGAGTGACTCTTGATGGACCAGATGGATCGGCCTGTGGCTGGATCGGTAATGGGCACAGAGCTCCACTTCATCAGACGCCAGCAAGGTGGAGGCTGGGTACTGGTATGGGCTGCTATTGTAGCTGTAGATGAGCTAGTTGGACCTTTTCAGGTTGAAGATGGACTCAAAATCAACTCCCAAACCTACTGCCAGTTTTTAGAAGACACTTTCTTCAAGCAGTGGTTCAGGGAAAAGTTTGCATCTTTCAAGAAGACCATGATTTTTCCGCAGGACAATGCTCACATGCGTTGAAGTACTCCACTGTGTGGCTAACGAAAGAAGAATGACGTAGCCCCCTTCCTCACCTGATCTGAACCCTATTGAGAACTTGTGGACCCTTCTTAAACAGGATATTTATGGTGAAGGAAAACAGTAAACCTCTCTGAACAGTGTTTGGTAAATGGACTGTACTTACTGTATAAAGTGCCTTTCTATCCATCCAGGACACTCAAAGTGCTTCACACTACAGACATTCACACATTCACACACTGATGATGGCAACTACAATTGTAGCCACAGCTTCCCTGGGGCACACTGACAGAGGCGAGGCTGCCATACACAGGCGCCACTGGACCCTCTGACCACCATCAGTAGTCAAGGCGGGTAAGGTGTCTTGCCCAAGGACACAACAACTGAGTCGACTGGACGGGGATCGAACTGGAGACCTTCTGGTTCCAGGATGACTCCCCTAACCACTCTACTACTTGAGGCTGTGGTTGTTGCTGTGCGGTGGCCCAGAGGTGTCATGTCAAATACAAAAGCCGCAACACAAATATGTATTTGTGCAGATGCAATAAAGTCATTTTTACATGATGGTTTATAAACAAGATGGGTTTTTTTCACAATTTAGACACTAATTTTGTAAGCTTATGTGATTTTAACTTGACACAATTTATTAAAATTTTAAATCAATAAATTATTTCACAATATTTGTCTATTTCAAGCCAAAGTAATATACTTTGGCTTGTAGCCAGAATTTATTTTCTTCTCTTTGCTGTCTTTCATTTTACTTGTGATTTGTATTTTTTTTGTATGTAGAATTCTTTTTGCTTTTAAATTAAATGACTAAACTTATGTTAGATGTATACTATGTGTGTGTGTGTGTTCGTATATATATATATATATACATACACTGTACAGTATATACACTGTATGCCAGTCCACCCCTGACTCAGACAGAAATTTTGTCTCACCTTAGATTAGTTATCTGGAATGTTGTTAATTATGCTTTCAATTATTGATTTTAATCACAGTTGTTTTTGTTTTTTTGTTTAATTTCAGTGTCTGAGTTGGTGGTTGTTCTGCTGGGAGGCAGCTTTAACCAGAGATGTTCCATTCGGGACCTCCTACTGGGCTTTGTTTATGACAGAATGTATATTGGCTTTGAAGCACACGATGGAAAATTAGGAGAGAAAACATTGAAAGTCATCAACACTCCAATTCTGCCAGACATTGAAGGCAGTCTGACAGAGTTTACAAAAGAGTGCATAACTCACTGTTCTCCTGGTCCGCATGTGTTTCTGCTGCTTCTAGATCCTGAATATGACTCTAAAGAGGCAGAGAAAAAGAGACTGTTTGCAGTTCTTGAATGTTTCAGTCAACAATTGTTTGATCATATGCTGATACTGATTTTAAAACCCAGAAATGAAAGTTTGAGGGAAGAATTTATGAAAACTTTTTGTGTAAAGGACCTGATCAGCAAATGTAGCTACAGATACTTAAAAGAGGGGGACATCGAACGTCCAGAACTTCTAACTCGGATTGGTCAAATTGTAAAAGAGAACTGTGGAGAACATGTGAGCTATGAAGAAAAAACAACTGAGTTACCAAGTGATCGTCAGAGCCACAAACAAAAGAATCGGCTTATATCTTTCCTATCGTCTGTAAAAGATAAGAGTAAGTAACCTATCAACATCTCAGAAATAATCAAAACCATTTTTTACCGAATAAATAACAAATCTCATATTTTCACAGGTCTCAAAGTTACACAATACATTCCAGGCTTTGGGAAAAATCCTTCACTTGACTGTAAGTAAATTTATCAGTTATTCTGTGTACCGGTACAGATGATCCAAACAAACTGATTCAAAGACAAAAAGGCTATTTCTTTTGTTTATTATTTTTGAAGATATTTAACATTAACAGATCGTTTGAGCTGAAGAGCCTCTTGGATGAGAAACAAAACAGTATCAAGAATCCAAAAGACGTCCAGTACAGAAAAAGCCAAAAGTAATAAAGTCCTGCTCTCATTAAAAAAAAATAAAAATTTTAAGGTTGTTTTTAACTCACGGAAGCCAAGAGTGGACAGTTTTCACATATAAATTTTTCCGTAGATATGAGTGTTTTCTCGAGAAAATGAGTTAATTTCCAGTTGGTTTTCCTTTTGTGCATAATTCAGTAACCGTGTAGAAGACCTGGTCCCCTCAGCTGGTCATCAGTGAAGTTTACTATCTATCTATCTACAGTCRTATGAAAAAGTTTGGGCACCCTTGTTAATTTTCCTGATTACCTTTATAAATCATTGTTTGGATAAAAAAAAATAATTTAAATATCATATAGGGCACAAACACAGTGATATTTGAGAAGTGAAATGAAGTTTATATGATTTACAGAAAGTGTGCAATAATTGGTTAAACAAAATTAGGCAGGTGCATAAATTTGGGCACCAAACAGAAATAACAGCCTCTAAACACTTCCTACAGCTTCTAATCAGAATCTGGATTGTGGCTGAAGGTATTTTAGACCATTTTTCTTTACAAAACATCTCTAGTTCATTCAGGTTTGATGGTTTCTGAGAATGGACAGCTCTCTTTGAGTGACACCACAGATTTTCTATAATATTCAGGTCTGGGGACTGAGATGACCATTCCAGAACGTTGTACTTGTTCCTCTGCATGAAGGCCTCAGTAGATTTTGAGCAGTGTTTAGGGTGGTTGTCTTGTTGGAAGATCCAGCCCCGGCTTCAGCAGCTTCAGCTTTGTCACCGATTCCTGGACTTTGGTCTCCAGAATCTGTTGATACTGATTGGAATCAATGCTTCCCTCAACTTTAACAAGATTCCCAGTCCCTGTACTGGCCACACAGCCCCACAGCATGATGGAACCACCACCAAATGTTACTGTAGGTAGCAGGTGTTTTTCTTGGAGTGCTGTGTTCTTTTTCCTCCATACATAATGACCCTTGTTCTGCCCAAATAACTATTTTAGTTTCAGTCCACAGCACCTTATTCCAAAATGGAGCTGGCTTGTCCAAATCTGCTTTAGCATACCTCAAGCAGCTCTGTTTGTGATGTGGGCGGAGAAAAGGCTTCCTCTGCATCACTCTCCCATACAGCATCTCCTTGTGTAAAGTGTGCTGAATAGTTGAAGGATGCACAGTGACTCCATCAGCAGCAAGATGATGTTGTAGGTCTTTGGTGCTGGTCTGTGGGTTGACTCTGACTGTTCTCAACATCCTTCGCTTCTGTTTATTGGAGATTTGTCTTGGTCTGCCACTTCGATCCTTGACTTGAACTGTGCCTGTGGTCCTCCATTTTCTCACAATGTTTCTCACAGTGGAGACTGAAAGCTGAAATCTCTCAGATAGCTTTCTGTATCCTTCCCCTAAACCATGACGGTGAACAATCTTTGTTTTCAGCTCATTTGAAAGTTGTTTTGAGACTGCCATGCTGCAACTCTTCAGAGAAGATGCAAAGAGGAGAAAATCTCACAATTACCCCCCTTAAATACCCTTTCTCATAATTGGAGTCACCTGTGTTATGGAGGTCAAGGGTCACTGAACTCACCAAACCAAATTTGAGTTCCAGTAATTAGTTCTAAAGGTTTTGAAATCAATAAAACGGCAACGGTGCCCAAATTTATGCACCTGCCTAATTTTGTTTAACCAATTATTGCACACTTTCTGAAAATCATAAACTTCATTTCACTAGTTTGTCCCCTGTATGATATATTTAACTGATTTTTTTTCCAAACAATCAATGATTTATAAAGATAAATCAGGAAAATTG